CTACTATAAGCCATACCAATCATGGCTTAAGTCTACCACATATTATAAATCTACCACTACTATAATTAAATATACGATTGTGCGAATCATCAATAAGTCTACTGATCATAAAATTAACTCTACCACTACTATAAATAAGTCTACCACATATTATAAATAAGTCTACGATTTCGCGAACCATCAATAAGTCTACCGATCACAAAATTAACTCTACCACTACTATAAATAAGTCTACGATTGCGAACCATCAATAAGTTTATCGATCACAAAATTAAGTCTACCAACTAGGAATTTAAGTCTACCATCGAGGAACTTAAATCTACCATGAGTAATTAGTCTACCGTCACATACAAATAAATCTACCACTCAATAATAAGTCTACCGAGATAAATCTACCATTCAACTAATAAGTCTATCACTCAAAAATAAACTTACCACTATTGGCGTTAAGTCTACCACTCCAAAACATCTCTACCACTAAATAAAAATAAGTCTACACAATAAGTCTACCATTCAAATATTAACTCTACCGTTCGTCGATTAAATATACGGACTTGAATTAAGTCTACCAACCACTTAATAAATCTACCAATCGTAAAATAAATCTACCATCACATGAATGGTAGACTTATTCGCTTTTGGCGGGAAAATCTTTGTTTTCTCATTAATGGTAGTTTCGTAAATACGTTTTTTGTCTTCAAATCAGATAAGGGTAAAACGGGTACAGAAGGTTTTTTGAGTAATATTCAAAGATGAGCATCATTTTGGTCAAAAACCAACTTTTCAAGGTTGTTTTAGTAAACCTCCCAATATTTTATCCCTATTTTATGAGTTAGAAAATGCTGGAAACACGAAATCAAAAAAGAAAAAGCTAAAGTCTCTTTGTTCACTCACCAAACTGACAACCATGTCTCTTTGTTCACTCACCAAGTTACAATCCACTCATAACTCTGAGTTCATCGATCTCTAAGTTTTTTTCTCTTTGAAAGGCTAACCAAAAAGAAAGTTTCGGACTTTTCTTTTATGGTTACTTACTGTGTCCGTAGCAAACAGCTACAGTTTCACGCCTCACACAGCTTCTCCAAATGACAAGTCCACCATCCTCCTAATGATGTTTTGTGTAGCCTCCACTATCTTCTCTACGGAAATCTCACATGCTCTGCAGAAATCCCATCTGCAGAATTGTATAATCCCACCCATCTTTTTTGTTGACTTTTCATCTTGCTACAAGCGTTTCCGCTTTAGCTGAGTCACTCAAAAACAAAACCAGTTGCACAAGTTCTTAAAGTCTCTCCCATTTTACCTGAATATGTCAATTTAAGCACACACCTGCAAGGAAGTAAATAAACACACGGAAGAACAAGACCATACACATACATATGTATTATCCAACATCACAAACAAAACATCATATAATCATACACCAACAACCACGCAACTAGATAGGTTTAAGTATCCGAAGTCATAAAGAGCAGAGGATAAGTTTGAGCACTAAACTAGTGCTTTAACAAACAACCGAAAACACACATAACCAAAAGAGTTGTAGCAACAATCCAAGTAACACATAACACCGAGATGTCTCGGACACTGAGACTTCAACCACAAATCGATTTGGAGGAAAAAACAAGACGTGGTTAGTTAAATTAACGCAACCACAAATCGATTCCGAGGAAAAAGCTACAAAAGACGTGGTTAGTTAAATTAACGGCGTTTTGTTTTTGTTAACGGGTGTTCTCTGTCAATTTTAAAGTGTAAAACTTTCAGGACTTAGAATTTTTTGTATTAAACGAACAATTTTAATTAGTTGAGGAAGGG